CAAACTATACAATGTATGTACAATGGAAACTCATGAGACTAAAAAGAGGAATCATACTCAATACTCATATTGAGCATAGGTCTAAGAAGCACCTCCTCTATAGAAGCCTCCTCTAGCCTCCTAACCATGGACCTAGTTAAAGGCCCAATGGTCTTCATGGGTGAGCCTCCTTGGATCAACCTTCACCCTTCTTGGTCTTACCTCTTCCAAAGGGATCCTTGGGGATTAGATTTCCATCAATCGTGCTATCAACGTCTGGTGAATCTTCATCCAGACCAAGAGTAGTTGAAGGATGCATCGATGTCTTCATTGGTTTTGCATCTTCCATCTTAAACTTTTGCAATAATTCTTTTGTATATTTCGTCAGATGAATTTTGATTCCTTCGTCTGATTGGACGATTTGAATTCCTAGAAAAAACTTTAGTTTTCCCATCATGCTCTTTTCAAATTCATCCTTTCATCCTGCATAAGCTTGGAAAACTCTTGGCAAAGATTTTTATTAGTAGCACTACATATTATGTCATCTACAATGCCGAAAGCCCGTTTCGGGCCGGTGGCGACAATGTGTGCTTTGTCTAAGAAAGAGTACACTAAAGTTCACAGCTTAAGAAGTGTCAAACAGATGCGGGACACCGTAGCTCTAACCTACGAAGGGTCTCTAGAGGTAAAACGCATCAAGCTAAGCTTGTTGGCACGTAAGTATGAACTCTTTGAGATGGAAGAAAGTGAATCTATACAAACTATGTTTGGAAGATTCCAAACAATTGTTAATGAACTTTCCTTCCTAGGTAGAACTTATGATAACTTTGATCATATTGACAAATTACTTCGAAGTTTACCCAGGAAATGGAAACCACAGGTTATTTCTCTGAGAGCGCCAAAAATCTGGAAAAGCTCTTCTTGGAGGAACTCATTGGACTACTTAAGGTTCATGAGTTAGAGTTGCAACAAGACGACGTTGGGAGAAAACAAAAGTTTATTGCACTAAATGTGCAAAAGACAAAATCTACACCATCCTCCTCAAAAGCTCTAAAGGCAGATGATATGTCTACTTTGAAGGGACCTGCAACACAAACGATGAAGTATCTTTCCTATGAAGGAAGATTCATTCAATAATGAAGAAAAGGGGAGGAAAACGATGGAGAAAATACAGTAGAACTCCTAGAGAAAGGGCACAGCCATTGTGCTATGAGTGTAAGAAACCTGGACATTACAAAACAGAATGTCCAGAACTCGAAAAAGAAAAAGAAAAGGAAAAAGAAAAAGAGGAGAAGAAGTTGATCTCCTACAAAAAGAAGAAAGTCATGATGGCCACCTAGGAGGACCTCGACACAACATCATCTGAAGATGACTAAGAAGTAAATATTTGTCTCATGGCAGACACAGACTCATCATCAGAATCTAATAATGAGGAGGTAACTGAATCTGACTTTAAAATTCTTGAGCATGCATACAATCAACTTCTATCAAATTCAACAAAAATCTCTACTGCATATAAAGATCAAAAGAAAAGAATTTTTGAACTACTTGAAGAAAACCGTTTACTGAAAAATGAAAATGAAAAACTCTTAGAAAAGAAAGAAAAACGTTTTTCAACTTCAGAAGAAGTAATCAAGCTTATCAAAGAGATTGATCTATTGAAATCAGACCTATCAAAATTCACACTAGGAACCAAAAATCTTGAGCATCTTTTAAAACACTCAAGGAGTGGGAAAGATAGATCAGGACTAAGATATGTTGAATCTAATTCAGAAATTAAAACAGGAACATACGCATCTTCTTCATATGGAAAGAACGAACATTTTACGTCCAAGTGCAGTCACATGCACAAGAAGAGGGATTTGAAAACCTACAGTGCTAACACTTATGGATCGAAATCCATTTGGGTACTAAAGATTGAAATAGTGTCTGTTGCAGATCTGTTCAACAAGAACAAAAAATGTCCAATCATGGTACCTGGACAGTGGCTGCTCGCAACACATGATGGGCGAAAGGTCTATGTTCCTAGGCCTCAAGTCCAAGAAAGGAGGACAAGTCACATTTTGAGGAGGACAGAAAGGACATATCATGGGGATAGGTAAAATAGGTATCAACTCCTCTATTTTCATTGATAATGTTCTTTATGTTAAAGGATTAACGTATAATCTACTAAGCATAAGTCAATTGTGTGATAGTGGTTATGAAGTATCCTTCAACAAAAATAAATGTATTGTTAGTCAACCTGATTCATCTATATTATTTACAGCTAACAGATGCAACAACCTGTATAAAATAATGCTTAATGAACTAGAAAATCAAAATGTTGATTGTCTAGTTTCATATGAAAATTAGTGGATCTGGCACAAGAAACTTGGTCATGCAAGCCAGAGATTAATCGCAAAGTTGAAAAGGCATAACCTCGTAAAAGGACTACCAAATCTTGTGCATCAGATGAACAGTGTATGTGAAGCATGTCAAAAGGGAAAACAAATTAAAAGTTAATTTCAAAGTAAAAAACATGTTTCCACCTCAAGACCTCTTGAACTACTCCACATAGACTTATTCAGCCCCAGTAGGACAACATCTGTAAGTGGTAAAAGATAGGGATTGGTCATTGTGGATGACTACAGTAGATGGACATGGGTGTTGTTCATAACTCACAAGGATGAGTCTTTTAAGTTATTCAATGTATTCTGTAAAAGAGTTCAAAATAAAAAAGGAATATCAATTGCTTTTATTAGAAGTGATCATGAGGGAGAATTTAAAAATGAAGAATTTCAAGAATTTTGTGAAGAAAATGGAATAAACACAATTTTTCAACACCTAGAACTCCACAGCAAAATAGGGTTGTTGAAAGAAAGAATCGCTCTTTAAAAGAAATGGCAAGAACTCTATTAAATGATTTTTCCACCTCGAAACATTTCTGGGAAGAAGCAGTTAATACTTCCTGCTATGTTCAAAATAGAATATATATTAGGCCTATATTGAAAAAGACTCCTTATGAATTGTGGAAGGGACAAGCACCCAACATATCATATTTTCATCCGTTTGGATGCAAATGCTTTATTTTGAATACCAAAGACAATCTAGGAAAATTTGACTCAAAAATCGACGAGGGTATCCTACTTGGATATTCTGAAAGGTCAAGAGCCTATAGGGTATTCAATAACAGAACTAAAAATGTTAAGGAAGCCATTCACGTTAAATTTGATGAAAATAAGCCTGATAATTATCAGAGCTGGGTAATTTCTTCGAGAACATGCAGGTGAACAATGACCAGACGAAAAGCCCTGAGTTTGAAGAAACAGCGACTCAACAAGACAAAAGAGAAGAAAGAGAACCAGCCAATCGCAACTGGTAGATGAAAGCTCATCACCCACAAGAACAAATCATTGGAGAAGAAAAGGATGCAGTAAAAACTAGAAGTTTGTTCAGAACACAAGCACAAATTACACTACTATCCCAAGCTGAGCCAAGAACCACGGACGAAGCCCTATCATATGAAAGCTGGTTTTAGGCCATGCAAGAAGAGTTAAGTCAATTCCAGAAGAATGACGTTTGGAAACTTGTTCTAATGCCCGAGGACAGGGTGATCATAGGAAAAAAATGGGTATACAAAAATAAATTGGACGAATCAGGGAATGTGGTAAGGAACAAAGCAAGGTTAGTTGCAAAAGGGTACTCTTAGCAGGAAGGTATAGACTTTACTGAAACCTTTGCACCTGTTGCCAGAATAGAGGCCATTAGAATTTTACTTGCTTTTGCCACATGTACTGACATGAAATATTATCAGATGGATGTTAAAAGTGCATTTTTAAATGGAACAATCTCGGAAGAGGTTTACGTGAGTCAACTTCCTGGTTTTGAAAATGAACTATTATCATCTCATGTTTTCAAACTAAATAAAGCTTTGTATGGATTAAAATAGGCACCACGTGCGTGGTATGAAAAATTAAGCTATTTTCTAACAAATAATAATTTTATAAGAGGAAAAATTGACAGCACCTTCTTTAGAAAAGAAATAAAGGATGATTTCGTAATAGTTCAAGTCTACGTAGATGACATAATATTTAGTGCTACTAATAAAAATCTTTGCCAAGAGTTTTCCAAGCTTATGCAGGATGAAAGGATGAATTTGAAAAGAGCATGATGGGAAAACTAAAGTTTTTTCTAGGAATTCAAATCGTCCAATCAGACGAAGGAATCAAAATTCATCTGACGAAATATACAAAAGAATTATTGCAAAAGTTTAAGATGGAAGATGCAAAACCAATGAAGACATCGATGCATCCTTCAACTACTCTTGGTCTGGATGAAGATTCACCAGACGTTGATAGCACCTTCTTTTCCGGTTTGTGATTGACAACTGGGTTCGGGTTGTCACAAATCCGAATCTGGTTTCCGGAGGTTTATAACATACTCATAGTCAGATGCGCCTGGGCTCTCAGTGTTTTTATGGGGGGGAATATTTCCGCATTGAGAGTCGCCCTAAGGTTACGATCCGTCGGGTTGGGAAACCAACCTGGATCCAATTTCCTCCAAGAGCCCTACCGATTGAGAAGGAGATGAAGTTGAAAACAACTGAGATCGGATCTCTCACGGAAATGGTGAGGCCCCACTTATGTCTTTCTTGTACCTCAAACCCAAATAAAAAAAGTATGCACGTCCAAACCACAAAAACAAACGGCCAGTTTCCCAGCCGAAAGAATGGGGAAACAAATGTGCTAAGACCTGTAGTAAGCCAGAGTAAGATGTATGAGGGTGCGAGTAAGAAGAGTCTTCTAATGTCTAATTATTTTATCAGAATCTGCATAGTGTTGTTCATGCTTCTTTTTTTATACGGGACATTTATATTGATTGGCATGGATTTCAATCTGGTTCTTATGAAACTCCAATCCATGCTTCTGGGGAAGTCTCTCCACTTCCTCTTTAGTCGCTTGGGGTGGTGTGGCGGGGGTCTCATTTTATTTTCATTTATTTTGGATCCGGAAACCATGGGGAAGACGATGGCTCCTTCGGGGGCCTCCGGCTCAGGATCAGGTGAGGGAAGCGGCTGGTCAGGATCTTGGATTGACCGATGGCTTAATCCAGAAAATGCTTCGTCGAACCCGAGGGAGCTGGAGGATGAGGCAGGGACTTCGGCTTCGGCCCCACACCCCATCCCCGAACACGATCCCAATCAGGTCAATGAAGGGCCTCCTCTGGCCCAGGAGGCGCAACGGATAAACGCACCATCGGTGCTTGAACTAGACCACCTATTGGATAACTTCACTTCCTCCTTTAATCGCATCTCTATGCGAAGTGATTATTTGATGAGGTTAGAGGAACGACTAGGGTTTCGAGAATCCACCCCCGAAAGACGGTATAAAATACTAGAGGGGATGCGCGTAATTTCTTCCTTAAAAGGGCAGGAAAGGCCAAGTTCCGGAAAAAAGGCGGGGGACGCCTTAGTAGACTTCATGCGCGAATGGGATCAGCAGCAAGGTTAGCGGCCTCCTCTCTTATCTTTTTTTCCTTTTTTTGTGATACTTTGATTCGGCTTAAGATTAGCTTTTTCTATTTCATGCACTTAACTTTCCTTCTGAAAGCTTTCTTTCCTGAGTCCGCAGATCTGCCGCTTTATTCGGATTGGCTATCGGGGCTCGGGATTCAAATCGTATCCCTGACCTTCCTAAACTATTTCTTCCAAGATGGCCAGCAAAGGGAAGACACCCCTGACCCCGACAGAGAGGGAAAAGGGAAAGAAGAAGGAAAAGGTCGCCGATTGCTACTAAGAACCTAACAGAACTTTTGTCACGATAAGAACGAAGGGCAGTTCGCTTTTTCTCCCAGAGGTGCTGGTTCGAGGTCTTGTTAGAGCCTCTTTCCGACGACAGAAAAGGGGGAACTGCAACTACTGGATCTGTAAGGGACAGGCTGGAGCAAAACCCCGGAAGAGACTCCAACTCAAAGAGTAACTGCATCTCAGGTAAGGAATTTTGAAGAAAAGGGCTTAGCGCGCAAACGCAGCATATGAATTATCACCCACTGGTCAAGGGCACGCTCGCAACGATCCGGTGATAAACCAAATCAATCCAGGCTCTGGCTATTCTTCCTTGGTAGTGGGATAGCTCTTAGGTAAATCTCTTTCTGTTTCTCCCGTTCGTTAAGCGAGACGGTGAAGCTCTAAGTGGCAAACATATCCTTCAGGGACAGCGGTTAAGGTATGAGTCTTTTCGTAACTACTCTCATCCCCAGCCCTGGAAGTGAGTTCGGGTTTAGCAAGCTTTTGAAGAACCTATCGTAACCCATTCCCCATCTGGGGAACGTAAAGCCAAGCCTGGTAGCGTTGTGTAAAACAATTCTTTTTCGGTAGCGAGCGCAAGTCAAGCGGTGGAAACGAATTCCATTGAAAGGTGTCAGCCAAAGGATTCCTCGTCGAAGGGAAACTATGTATCTCAGAAAGCGAAACCAATAGGCTAAGAAGGAGAAAACCGTACACTACCACTAAGAGTAAGAAGCCTATAATCTAATTGCAGGAGTCGGGAAAGGGACTGGTCTGTCTTTTGAACAATCTCAAATCACTGGTGTGATAGATAGGTATATGGAATTGGATTAGGCTTAGGGGGCTCATTCCTCCCACCTATTGGAGTTGGAGCTGCTTTCGATCCAGTAATCGTGCCGGGCTCTATCGATTAAGTAGTCTAAGTAGTCCCTCCCTCCTTCTTTTCTTGCTCTCGAGCTAATAGGGTTATAGGCGGACCTATCATTTCTTCGATCTAAATTTGAGGGGAGTAGAAGTGCTTCTGTCTGTAATTCCTTCTGGCTTTGATTCTGCCTTCGGGCCAAACAAGCCAGTGAAGGACCTTGAAGCAGGAGTCTTTCCTTCAGTCTAATAATGTGAGGGCTGACGTATATAAATTTCTTCCTTTTTTGTACTAAAAAAAATGCTTGGCTTTCTCTCCTGGCTTTTTAGTAAGCAAGTGAAGCGAGCTCTTCTTTATGGGCTAAAAAAGAAAAAAGGAAAGATGTTGACCGGAGAGATTTCCATTTTTTGGAGAAAAGCAAAAACGAAGGATAATTTGTCCCCTTCTTGCATCTAGTCTCGTCCCTCTAACCTTAACCTAAGGGTTCGGGTTATGTATGACCAGCCGAAAAGAGGCCCTCTAGATGCCTTCTAACCGTCCTTTTAGCCCATTCCCCTAGTTACTTCATGGCTGATAGGCCTACAGACGCTTTAGGCCCCGGAATAGGCTTGCTTTCACGTCTTTCCTTAGATCAGGTTAGCGCTTATGCTGCTTCACGCAACTAGATTCAATCCATTGAGTAGAGAGCAAGGAAAAGCATCCAACCAATCCAATCCTGTTAGGCTGTTTTGGAAAGCCAGCGGGCAAGGAAGTGAAATTGTTGATGCGGAGAATGCCCTCTTTCTCTTTAAAGGATCAAGAGTTTACCACGTACACAGAATCGAATGCTAGTTCGTACCCAAGGGATTCGATATTCCTAGATGGGCTTGTTCTTGAATGCGCAGGGATTGGGACTAAGAAGACTGCTGCCATTCCATTCAGGTAATGCAATTGTGAATGTCCGATCAATAGCAATAGTGCTGTGGCACTTCTTAATGACTTTCCTGTTGAGCATAACTTCTGGAGGATTTGATATGGATGTCACTTGCTCTAGAATCATCAGTTTCCTAATCGAATAGGATAGGACCGGTGCAGGCCAACTCGGAATAGAAAGAGTCCGGTTTCAGAGGCTTGATCAACTTTGTTCATGGATCATCAACAAATCCCTAAATGCTTCTTTATATTGTCGCCACGGAAAAGGTTCAGGTAGGGAGAACTCTTAGATTAGATTCTAAAGTTTTAGAGAGTTTTTTTGAAAATCCATCTCCACCTATTTGTGCCCTTCCTCCCAAAAGCATTCCGGCATCTGTTATTCCTGGTCTCACCTGTGAAGCAAAGTAGGACAAGGGAGAAAGACATGGAATTGATAGGGAACCGTAGCCAAGTGGCTAAGGCATGAGTCTGCAAGACTTCTATTCGTCGGTTGGAATCCGACCGGTTCCTACAGCGCCGCGCCATTCCACCCATCATTTTTTTACTTAGTGGATAGAACGGGGGCCGGAGCTTGCTCCTTCGTACTAGTGTAGTGGCTTAGCTGCCTTAGTTTCCCATCCTTACCGTATTCCTATTCCTTAGCACAAGCACTAAGTAAGTCTACTACCTGTAGGTCGAGTTCAATTACATCGAACCTTATGTTACCTACTTTGACTCATATCTTCGGTATACCGAAATACAAGACAAGCACAGGAAAGGATATTCAATCAAAACCGGGCTATCGCCCTATTCTCTCTCAATTGCCTATCCTTTATAGACGAGGGGTTCGCGATTAGCAAGATCGGCTTCGATATAACTTCTCAGGGCTCTGTAGACTTAACTGTACTTTCTCCGGCTAGGAAGCCTTTGGTGTCCATGGATATGGATGTAATTTTACCGATTAAAGCGATTCAAAGCCTTAAAGATGCGCTGTCCTAAGCCGGGAAGGGACATTTCAATCAACCTATTAGTAAAATGTGAGAATGAGCGGACAGGCCGATCGGATAAGATTCTTTTCCTTTACGGAGGGAGCTTACGGACGGGCCAAGCTCTTTATGACTTCTTTGACGCAGATTGAAAGTCTAGTTTGACAGTCTTCGACAGATCTTTTTTTTCGGGGTCTTCCCTACCGGTAAGGCAAGTAAACTCGTCCTTGGGAAGTCTAGCTTTGTCCTTCTGAGTCTCGTCCTTTATATAACTTCCTAACATTCTTTCGTTCGTTATATAGCGATAATCGCCCTTATGAGGCACTTAAACTAGGTTCTCATTTCGAAAGAAGAAGAGCATGTTTAGGAGCAGCCCCTGAGTGAAGAGCAAGCAAACTCCGCCCCTATCTGCCGGCTATAGGTCACGAACTATAAGACCAAGGAAAGCAACCTCTCGTTAAACCGCTTTAATGTTGCCTTTTTGGATATCCAAGAGAAGATAAGGCTGGCTGGGGGCTAACCCTTCCTGACAAGGTCATGACGGGCTGACCTTTTCCTAGCCTTTACCAAACGATTAGCGAAATGAAATCGAGGAATCAAGGACGATTCGATGACTCTCTCCAATAGATCTCGATTTGCGGACGATGTCGTTAAAGAGTCGACACCGCTTTGCACAAGAATCGGTTCTTTGTATGGATGGACAGAAGGGCTCAGCCAGACCCGGTTCAATTAGTTTTTTGCGGTTCAAGTTCAAGGGAAGAGAAAAGAAAGCGTAACTCTTTGTTGTCCTCTTACTCTTTTAGCCTGCCTTGTGGAGGTCTCTCGGGTGTCTACGGCGGATCCGATCAGTCTCGTGAAGAAGTCTTTTCCGATCTTCCACTAAGAAAGGTATCGTCACGACAACTAAATTTGCCCGGTAAACTAGTCGGGGCTCCCCATGGTTTAGTAATAGGGAGGGGAGAATGTCTCTTCATCCGGGGGTTCATTTCATGAATTATGAACTAAAAAAAAAGTGTAAGGCTGATTAGTGAGGTCTTAAAAACTTCATACAATGAATGATCAGCCATTCCATTGGTGCTTTCAGCAAGTAGGCGACGCGAATCTATGGTTTCTATGTTTCAATCGGGTACCAATTGCTTGGATGCGTTTGAAAGCCTCGAGATTACTTTAAGAAAAAATTCTTTCTAGGTTTGTCTTGTGTCTCCGTAACAAATGGTCCATTTATTGATGGGCGAACGACGGGGATTGAACCCGCGCGTGGTGGATTCACAATCCACTGCCTTGATCCACTTGGCTACATCCGCCCCTACCCCCGCACAGGTTTTAGTCTCTATCTACGATCAGATTCTTTCTGAACCCCCTATGACCGCTATCAAAGAGAAGCTTTTTCCTATACTATAACTATAGTAGTAGCACAAGTCTATTTCTTGTTTTTTGGAATTAGGGGCTTCAAACAAAGAGGTTGGGCTGTTCACTTCATTGATTTGACTTCACTTTACTTAAGATTAAAGATAGGGGCCGGGCGGGCAGTGAAGGCTCGTTTAGTAGAAAGCAAGCTCCGCTTTTTGAAGCGAGCCCCCAGAAAGCCTTTGCACGCTAGCCTCTTGTAGTTTAGGGTTCCAAACCTGCGCACCCCTAAACTACAAGCTAGCTTTGAAGCCCCTACTTTATGGATTGTTGGGATATTAGAAGAAGCCCCTTTCTACAAACCTTTCTAGAATATAGGGAAGCTCTTCGAGCTTTCTTCGCATGCTTGAGCTTTCCCCTTTCTATTAGTAAGGTTGTCAAAAGGTAGGTTTCTTACTTAGTGCTTGTGCTAAGGAGCTTCTTTCTCAAAGTCAAGTTTCTCGCTTCTTGCTTTAGAAAGATTGCAGGGGCGCGCGCCCTTCCTTCAGCCGGCTCCGCCCTATCTATTCATCTCTTTTATCAAATGGATATTTAGGGATCTCTCTTGTTCATAGATCTTGAAACCAGATCAATATCCAT